AGTACATACATACATAGAAACACACATACACACATACTGTACATACATACATACATACATACATACATATATACATTTACACTGAGTGGACACTAGTAGCACAGAAGCTAACACAAGCTAACGAGGACATGGAAAGTGACAATGAAATTGGCTCAAACATGCACAATATTAGTCGCCTCACCTTGGAGCTCCGTGAGAGCGACCGTGCCACCATTGCAGAACTACGAAAAGAAGTCCTTCGTCTCACCGCAGAGTTGAATGAGAAACAATCTCTAGTGTCCAAACTTTTTGAAGTCGCTGGTGGGCAGCATTCACGGCTTATGTCACTGAGTGCTGCATATTGTGACACTGTCGTGTGGGAGAGATCCGTCAGCTCCGGACCCTCCTGTTCTACACCTAAGCGCCCGGTTCCGAACAACGAGCCCGCGGATTCCGAGGAGCCATCCTGCGCCGTGGCCCATGTCCTTAGTCTGGCAAACCGCTATGCAGCCCTCTCCACTGACATCCCGGCCCCCTCAGCAGAACCTCTGGACACTGCAGCGTACTCTACTGCTCGAGGATCCAAGTCCACTGCGAGGAAAACGCTCCTAAAGGAAGCAGTCCTCAGGCGAAAGAGCGGTCCACCAGCCATGTTGGCCTGTTCCCCTTCTTTGACCCCAGTGCAGCAGCCTCAGACTGGGGTAGCGAGCCATCATTACCATCGCTCACCTCCACCGGGTCAGCAGCAGCGCCCAGAGCCAGCCCCTCTCACCGCTCCAGCGTCCCCGAGCACACAGCGTGGGTCGCCTGTAGCTGAGAGTCAGCACCCCCGCTCCTCCTCTCCATGTGTTCAGCGGCGCTCGGGTCCTGCTTCGGGTGAACCCGCTGGTTCCGTCCACCGAGCTCCTTCTCCGAGGCCGCGTCCACGTCCACTCTTCGCCCCGACCACTCTGATTATTGGAGATTCCATCGTGAGACACGTCCGCTTCTTTAACGCGGTCACTCGCTGTATTCCCGGAGCTACTGTACCAGACCTGCTCATACGTCTCCCTCCTCTGCTTCAGTCCCTGCCTGATACCGTTTCCAAGGTAGTCGTGCATGTGGGAATTAACGACATGAAACTTCAGCAGTCAGAAGTCACGAAGAAACATTTTATGGATCTGTTCCACCTCCTTCAATCCACTGGATTATCTGTTTTTATCTCTGGTCCAATCCCGACTGTAAACAGAGGTGACTGCCTCTACAGTCGTGTTGTGGCGCTGCATATGTGGATCCAGGCTACATGCAGCTCTTTTAACTTTGTCTTTGTGAATAACTTTGCCCTTTTCTGGAAACGTAACGAAGCCTATCGTCCAGACGGATTACACCCAAACAGATACGGTAGCAGCCTGTTGATGGGCTACATGCGTTACGTTGTTCAGCGTTCCCCGAGGGGGGCGTGACTGTTTACATCTGAGCCCCCTCGGACCCCACCGCACTCCCCCGCCTCCTGCTCACCAGCACCGGGTGAGTACAACGGTGCAAACACTGCTCCCTGTCCGTCTGGCAGTGCATTACCAGTCCAAACACTGAACTGTGCTGACTCCCTTCTGACTCTGGGAGCTAAAGAACAACAAGGGTTTTCACATTTTAGTCCAATTGAGACTGTGTGTGTTCCTCGCACCAGCTCAAAAATGTTTTTAAATTCTAAAAAACGAAATCAAAACAGGACAGCAGTTAGACGGTCCAACTCTGCAAATCTAATTTCTGTTCCCTGTAGAAATCAATCAACCACATTAATCGACTCTGACGTTATTTTTAAACTTGCTATGCTTAATGTCAGATCTCTATGTAACAAATCATTTTTAATTAATAATTTTATCACTTCTTATGATCTTGATTTTATGCTTATGGCTGAAACATGGCTGGACCAAAATACAGGAAATGCAGTTCTAATAGAAGCAACACCACCCAATTTTAAATTCGAATCCGAAATACGAGAAAACAAAAGGGGGGGAGGCATAGCTGCAGTTTTTAGAGAGCACTTTGTCTCCCATAGAATGCCCCTTGGAAATTTTTCATCGTTTGAGTATATTTCTTTTAAAATGGAACAAAAGCAATCTTCTACTCTTTTCATTGTCCTGTACAGGCCACCACAGTCATGTTGCGATTTTATTGACCATTTTACTGAACTACTTTCATTCGTGTGCACAGATTTTGATAGTTTAGTTATTACAGGTGATTTTAATGTACATGTTGATAATGTTGATGACAGAAATGCAAAGGAGCTGGCTTCTGTACTTGAGACCTTTGGTTTCATTCAGCACGTGAGTGGCCCCACCCACAGCAGGGGGCACACTCTTGACCTGCTAATTACAAAGGGGGTTAATGTATCAAATGTTAATGTAGTTGATGTTGCTTTGTCAGATCATTTCTGTGTATTTTTTGACATGTGTTTTGCTAGCAAACCACCAGCTGAATTTACAATTGCTAGAAGAAGACACATACATGAAAACACAGGTGAACTGTTCATGGGAATGCTAAATTTTGAGAAAACTCCATGCTCTACTGTTGATGAATTGTATAACTCTGTCACCACCAGTGTTCTGAATGTTCTGGACGCCATTGCTCCTGTGACGGTTAAAATAGTTACCAGTAAGAAAAAGGCCCCATGGACTAAGGCAGACTCGGTCAGGGCACAGAAGCAAGAGTGCCGGAGGGCCGAACGGAAGTGGCGAAAGTCCAATTTCCAGGGCGATTATGAAATCTTTAAAGATGAGTTGGGTGAATTTAACCGGGTTCTACGAAGAACAAGAGAAATGTATTTTTCTGACATTATTGGAGGTTGCAGTAACAATTTTCGTGTTATGTTTTCAACAGTTGGTAGATTAACGAACCCCCCTGTAAAGTTGCCCCTAGAATTTTCCTCTAAATCTAGGTGTAATGAGTTCGCACAGTTTTTCGATGACAAAGTACAAGGAATCAAAAACACTATCACCTCCACAGCACGTATAACAATGCAACAGCCAGAGAAGCTTTTTGAGCTAACTCACTTTGCACCTGTGGATACTGAAACTGTCAAAAAGATAATCATGAGTCTGAGCTCCTCCACATGTAGCCTGGATATATTGCCCTCTAAATTTCTGAAGTCCGTCCTGAGCAGTTTGTTACCTTCACTGACACAAATAGTAAACATGTCTCTGTCGTCAGGAACATTTCCTATGGCCCTAAAAACAGCAGTCATAAGACCTCTCCTAAAAAAGAGCAGTCTGGATCCTGCGGGACTTCAAAATTATCGCCCCATATCGAATCTGCCATTCATTGGAAAAATTCTTGAAAAAGTGGCCTCCCAACAACTTACTGAATTTTTAACAATGAATAATTCTTTTGATATGTTCCAGTCTGGGTTTAGACCCCACCACAGCACTGAGACCGCTCTAGTGAAGGTAACAAACGACATTCGACTTCACACTGATGCAGGTAAAGTCACAGTTTTGGTCATGTTAGATCTTAGTGCCGCGTTCGACACTGTCGACCATGAGATCCTCATGCAGAGACTGGAGGACTGGGTTGGTGTCACTGGCACAGCCCTAGACTGGTTTAGGTCTTACCTGGAGGATAGGAAGTACTTTGTGGAGATTGGAGACTGCGTCTCAGATCATGTGGCCCTGACCTGTGGAGTACCACAGGGGTCGATCCTGGGACCTCTCCTATTTAATCTCTACATGCTGCCGTTAGGTCAGTTAATACAAAGAAACAAAGTGTCCTACCACAATTACGCCGACGACACTCAGATCTATGTCTCACTGACTGCAGGAGAACATGGACCACTGGATTTGCTCCTTCACTGTATCCAACAGATCAGTGAGTGGATGCAAAATAATTTCCTCCAGCTAAATGCAGACAAAACCGAAATCATTGTCTTTGGTCCCCAGAAACAAAGAGAGGGCGTCATCTGTCAACTTCAGTCTCTCTCCCTACTTCCTTCAGACAAGGTCAGAAATTTGGGGGTAATACTGGACTCAGACCTAAATTTCAATAGCCACATAAAATCAATAACATCAACAGCTTTTTACCATCTGAAGAACATTGCCAAAGTCAGAAATATAGTGTCCAGGGCAGACTTGGAGATTCTTGTCCACGCATTTGTCTCCAGCAGGCTAGACTACTGCAATGGCCTGCTTACAGGTCTGTCCAAACAGACCTGTAAGCAGCTGCAGTACATCCAAAATGCAGCAGCTAGAGTCCTGACAGGAACCAGGAAGTATGACCATATTAGTCCGGTCCTCAGGTCTCTGCACTGGCTTCCTGTGGCTCAAAGAATAGATTTTAAAACAGCTCTGCTTGTGTACAAGTCTCTCCATGGCCTTGCACCAGAATACATTAGTGACATGTTGGTGTCATATGAACCAGCCCGGACTCTGAGGAGCACAGGGACTGGCCTCCTGCTGGTGCCCAGAGTGAGAACCAAACATGGGGAGGCTGCGTTTCAGATCTATGCAGCTAAGATCTGGAACAATCTCCCTGAAAATGTGAGGGAGGCGTCTACTCTGTCAATGTTTAAATCCAGGTTAAAGACTGTTCTGTTTGCCTGTGCATACAACTGAAGGATTTTATCTCCATTTGTAATGCACTGCTGTCATTTATTTATTTTATTTTTTTTTAAATTTCTTGTGTAACTTTGAAAGTGTTAATGGTTTTATTCTTTTGTGTGATTTTATTGTTTTTATTGTGTTTTAATCTTTTGTGTGATTTTAATGTTTTAATTGTGATTCTGGTGTTTGTTTTATGTGATGATTTGTGATGTGGACTGTGAAGCGCTTTGTGTTGCCCTGTGCATGAAAGGCGCTCTACAAATAAACTTTGATTGATTGATTGATTGATACTGGATAGCACTCTCGCCAGCAAGAAAGTCCTGGGTTCGAAGACCTCAGGAAACTTTATGAGGCTGTGGAGCGCATGCGCAGTGCGTGACGCTCGCTCCGGGCTCTTCCTGCTGCTTCCTGCTCACATCTCGCCGGTTGTGGAGCTGAGTTTCAAAGATGTTCAGAGCCGCTGTTCGTCTCTCTGTCTCCGGTGTACGGACTCTGGCTCGTACACAACCACGGTGCCAAGGTATGCTTGAGTTCATAACTTTGACTTGCTTCTTTATTCAACAAGTCATGAATAAAAGAACTTCACTGTGAGACATTGCGGTATTCACGAGGCTAAGCTAACGGATATGCTAACACATGACATCCACTTGATATTCTCCCTACTGTGCAAGGTTAACCACAATAAATAACGTGTGATGTTGAATTGGATCATTAAACATGGAGCCACTGTTTGGTAAAGATATCAGGCTGATAAATCCCTGGATCTTTTAGCTTTATGTTTGCGGTGTCCTTGTGATGACCCAGATGCAGGGCCCTGTGTTGTGTAGCAGATGCTAATGCTAACTTGACCACTACACAGGTTATTGTATGAATTCTAATCATTTAAATGTGTCTGAAGATGATGAGAATGAGACATTTGTCGTCAGTTGACCTGTGATTTCTGTGGTATTTTATGTCCCCGTTTTTTACACGTCCAGCTATAAAATTCTAAATTTGGTCATGTTGGAAAGCTATTCGGTGTCGTCCCATACTGCTGCACTTGACATGAACTTTGATGTCTGGTGCACTTCCCCCTAGTCAGTTGGTCAAACCGATATCATGGGAGACTGTGGCATTTGTATCTTGATGATCAGTGTATGAAGTGCATCGCCATGTGTTTTAATAAATGCAATGTAACCTTTATCTTCCTGCAGCTGTGTTAGCATCTCGGTTGTATTCCCATGGAAAGGTAGAGACCGACGAGGAGTTTGATGCTCGATGGGTAACTTACTTCAACAAGCCAGACATCGATGCATGGGAGCTGAGAAAAGGTTTGTGAATGGTCGAAACTCATGTGAATACGAATTACCCATTTGACCTTGAGTTTGGTGGATAGATAATGTTTATTTCGTATAATAAATCGTAAAATATGTAACTGCATTGTTTTAAATCATGTAAATTGTGAGGTAAAAGCCATCGCAAAGTCTTCGTATTTGTTAATCAGTTTTTGTATTGTTCAATATGACACACCTGAAATAGTGCAGTTAATGATGCATCATGTGACGTGTTCGTGCAGCAGAGCTCGTTGTGACCGTAGACTGTAAATAGTTTTGACACTTATTTTTGGCCACAGTATGGAGGTGGGAGGTCATATCTACTGAACAAATAAACGCAACAAGTCTTCTAGAACATTGCTAATTTACTATTGTCTGGTATAAAAGAACCAAATACACTCAAGCCGTGTATTTATTTATTTTTTTACATTTAGTGATTTTCATTTTTTACAGGGATGAACACACTGATCGGTTACGACTTGGTACCTGAACCAAAGATCCTGGATGCAGCACTGCGAGCCTGTCGGAGGTTAAACGACTTGGCGAGCGCAATCAGAATTTTGGAAGCTGTAAAGGTGAGGACAATGAAACGCTTTTGACATGAGCTGGTGAACATGTGTACGTGTTTGTGTGTCTACTCGTGGGTAATCATTAACTTGTGGTTTGGGCTATAGGATAAATCGGGGCCTCACAAAGATATCTACCCGTACGTTATCCAGGAACTTCGGCCGACATTGGACGAGCTCGGCATTTCTACACCTGAAGAACTTGGAATTGACAAAATATAGATTAAACGGTAAGAAACAGAAGGGCGTATAAATGTCTGCATGTTTTGTTTTGACTGGTTCAACAGTATCATGGTGGATTTGTAAATATTTATTCTGTTGAATTTGGTTACACATGATTGTTGCCATAACCCTTTCCTTCATCTGCTACTGTTAAATTGTTTTTTATTCTACCTTTTTCAGGTCGGAACCCTACGGACCTCCCACTGACAGCCAGCCCCTTTTACGTTAAATGTTTGCCACATTAAATACAGTGATATATTTAATTGGCTTTTATTAAGATCTTTATGCTTGTAAATTACTGATACACCCATAATAAAGCTGTATCATATTGAGTGTCGCAAGTATTTTGGAATATTTTAAATCGTAAAGAGTACTTTTGTAGAATTGTAATTATCAGGTTGGATTATCACTGAGCAGCAGCGAGTTCTGATACAACTGCAATAATTCTGCACGTGTCTTGGTGTACTTGCCACATTTCACCACAGGGAAGCAGCACTTCAACATGAATGTACATATTCATTTACTGTATTCTGTTCATTTCAGGGACTTTGACATTGCTGGTTAATAAACTTTTACCTGTTCAGTTGTGTTTGCTTAACAGTGTTTAATGTAGGACACCTCTGATTTTGTTGCATACTATATCTGTGAATATAAGTAAGTTCTTTAAAAATGCAATGTAGTATCTGTATTTTATTTATGATTAATGCATTCACAAACTTTCCTGACAAACGTATATAATGTTGTATATATTATGAGAGCTTAATTTCAGAGCGAAATGTGGTCTTGCATGAAATCATTAAAGTATTGTGTATTCCATGAATCTTACTGTTGCCCGTGATCAAAACTGAATTGATTGAAAGGATTAGATTTGATATTGACAGTTTCAATAAATATTTGCAAATTTGTAAATCACCATGGCAACATATGTATTAAGTTGACGTTTTCTGTATTTTACATCTGCATCGCATTCCTTAACGTTAAACAAATGACCCACTAGATTTACTCAAAGAAAACGTGAATTTTGCCTGAAGGCGTTCGTGGTGATGAGGACGTGCTGCATATATTTTATCACATGTTTAAAATAGTACTACCACTAATAACATACTATCTGTACCAAATGTATAGTTACTACAAATAGTGAAAGGGGAGAACTATTTTTAAGAGGACAAAGTAGAAAAATGATGTGTGCTTTAAATACCAATCCACCAAAGTAATATATTACAACTAAAATCAATGCATGTAATGTTTACCTCAATCAATAGCTGTCATTGTTTGAGATACATTTATAAATAAGTACCACTGATTAACTATGAACGAATAATTCACTTGTTTCACAATAATAATAATTAATATCAATGTTTTTTTGTTCAGCCAAAACAACATTCGTCTAAACAGTGATAAAGGTCTTACATTGTAGTTTCAGTGTAGTCTGTATTTCATTTACAATGGAGTGTGTAAAAATAGCAAATCTTTGCATATTTTACACGCTTTTCAAAAATCCTCTGCGCTCTCTGTCTCAATTCCACAGTGACGTCCGCCTGCGCGCTGGCGTCATGGCCATTTGCGACAAGAATGGATCAGCCTGGATGCTTATTAAACTCTATGTGGCTCCTGATCTCACACATGTTTAAAAAGCAGCGGTGTTTTTGTCCTTCGCGGTGGTATTTCCGCGTGGAGAGGGCGGGTAGCTCCCTGGAGATGGGGGCAGAAGGAAACCCACTTTACGAGCTTTACGCACGGGGCGGGCCTTTCATTCATGCAAGTTGGGGGTGTAGGCCACTCGGTAAAAGACAATCAAACATGTTTGAGTTTCCATGCGCAGTGACTAGGGAGGTAAAGCCACGGCATCATTACCCCTCCTCCTCGGCCTCGGCCTCTCCGCTCTCCACACCACACATCTACAAATCACATTTGATTTGATCGAAACGAGAGCTTTCTGCGCAGACGCTGGACATGATATCAGTTTTGTTTTTGCGGACGGAAAGAAGGAAACACTAGATACGACCTGTTGGCGTTGATGGATTTCTCTAAGGCGCAAATGGTGAGTGTCTTCGACCCCGTGTTTATTACAGTAACAAAGCGAGTCGCGATAAATCTGCTCTCGGCCATTTCCAGGCCGAGCGCAGACTCTGCAGCCGCTACTTTGTTTATGCTTGTTGATGTTTGCTCTGCTCCTCGAGAACCATTTAATTATAACTAGTTTACGTTGAAGTGGGATTCGTTTTGGCTTTTCGTTAAAGGTTAGTAAGACTAAGGGTTAAATTCCCTTTCCAGTGGGTTGCTCGTGAAACTAAGTTACCTCCCTGAATATCTGTTTTTGTTTTAGGACATCACCTGGGCCTACTCTGAGGAAGTAAAGCTAAACCCTACCCCCAGGCTATGAAAAGTAGATGGGAAACTTTGATAGGCTACTACTCAGTTACTCCATACATGAGAAAAACGCCCTGTGTTAAAAAACTGTGAAGATGTATAACGTAACCAGTATTTTGTCCATCACCTCTTCTCATGTAGGTGTTACTTTTATCTTTCTCCTCAGTCGAGCCTCTCAGAGGGCAGTCCTGCTGGGCTCAAACTGGAGACTGTGATGGACCATCTGCAGAGACAACAAGGGGCCAAACTGGAGGGCAGTCTGCAGGAGAAACAGCTCCAGTTCCTGTTAGCCCAACATGCCGCTGCAGCCGCAGCTGCCCGAGCCAACGCGGCCAGAATGGACCCTGCATTATTCACTAAAGAGGCCCAGATGTTTCAGAACCAACACATGAACGGCATGAGATCAACAGAGATGGACGAGGATGAGGAGGATGAAGACTCTGAGGAAGACGACTCTGGCCTGCCAGGCCAGGGTCTGATGACACATGGACTTCGAGGCCCTGGTAACCATGACAACAGGGAAGATGATGTTGGAGATGAAGATGAAGAGGAGATCAGTCCGGATAAGAAGCCCAGGCTGCAGCCTCTTCCAGGTTACAACTACCCCCCCTTCCCCAGCTCTCAGGGCTCCACTGGGAACCAACTGTCCGGCTCTCCTGCTTCGGCCGTAAAAGAGCCTGAAGACAAGGAAGCGCTGTCTCCGGCAGGCCAGCAGTCCTTCACATCCCCCAATGGCTTCTCTGAATGGGGCTATGATGACTCATTCAAACAAGTGAGTACATTTGCATCCCAAAAACATGCTTTTATAGCCGCACAGGCCCTTTCCTGAGACCAATGTAATATAGCGGCGATTGGCCTGTATTTCACCCCATATTAATTGTTGCTACTTTTCTGCTGCGTCACCACCGCCTCCATCCACGGTTCTGTTGGGGAAAGTGTGCCCCTTTGGCAACATGCCCATATTTGATTTGTGGCCAATAAAAGGCTGGGGCAGACCATGCCTACAGATTTATTTTAAAACGCCAAAGAGCATACATATACAAACATAGAATGTACTTTCCATTAATCATAACCTAACTGGTGCACAAGCTTTACAATAATAAAGAGTCTCGGAGATCTGGTATTTATGAAACAAGTCCACTCTGGTATTTATGGTTCTTCCACTCTTTGACTGCAATTAAGTTCCAGAGGCTCCTCCAGGGTGTTTTCCAGCCTGGTCAGATCTGGTTGGTCCTTCATGAGCATGTTGCCCTCCTAAGGCCCCACTTCCATACAATACGTTATGATTAATGAGGCCTGTGGCCAGAGGGACAGCTGCCTCAAAGCATACCAGGGCCCACCATATACATCACCAGTTGCCCCAGACGGGAACAGTTAGATTGGAGATGCCCCGTTGAGTGATGTTTTCTCATAATTGGTTAGATTTCTGTTCCACGATTCACAGCAGAATGTTTTTACTAGGAAAAGTGAGCACATTGCCTCTTAGACTGTGGCGTTCACTGCCTAACATGTAAAGTAAGCTAAAGCTTTACTAGCATGTCCAGATGGAAGCGATTATTTTTGGAGTTGTGTAGACACAGTGACTGCTTTGACCTAAAATCACAAGCACACACCAAATGCTAACTTTGCCTTTTACTCTTTCTACTATATTTACAGAAATGGAACTTTCTTAGCATTGTGCATTAAAAACATGTTTGCTTTATGTGGATGTCCCTGTTGCAAATGGCCATTGTTTTCCACTGTCCACAAGCTAACAACCAGAGAGAGAGAGCTCTGCATAATTTAGCGGTCGCCTGGCAACACTAAATTGCTTCTTTATTCAGCTGCAACTAATCAATACATTATACTGCTAATGTTGTGTGAATGTGTTTGCATTTCTGAGCTTTTACCACACACTGCAATGTCAGCTTCTAAAACAGGATGTCCCTAAAGCAGCGAGAGCATATTTTCTTTTGCAAGTGTCAACATTGCCCTGTATTAGACGTGTATTAAAACAACAACACTTGGTCTGTTGGACATCACCTAACACTCTATAAATTCCAAGGGTTGAGTTCACATTTCAGGCTTGTATCTTTTTCCACGTCCTAATGGCAGTTTCCGAGTTCTGTTGAAGTCTGGCAGGAAGCCAAAAATCAATTAAGAGACAGCTTTGCATTCATTGTAAGTTCATGTGTTTTTACCATTTGCTAAATTGTGTGGCCTGTTTTGTGCGGCTCCACTGGTCCTTCCCATTGTGCGCTGGGACCATATAAGTAGCACTTAAACGCAGGCTGGTGTGGGGAGAGCTGCCCTGCTCACTGTGTGGGGGCAGATAAATGATCTTGACTTGCGCGAGCCATTGAAAAGCCCAATAATTTGATTTGAATTAATAAATGCCCCCCTTCGCCCCCTGCTGTTCCATTGACAGAGTGCCCGGAGTAAAATACTGGAGTTTAATTTCATTATAAGAGGAAGATTTGGCATCAAGTCAAAAGTATGTATTGACCGGCCCAACATTGTCCTTTTGTACGGCTTCACTTCTGCTGGTCCTCTCTAGCAGCTGTAGCAATTATTTTTAACAATAAGAGGTGGTCCTTCACTATTACATTCCATAGTGGGGTAATTTCAGTGTTGCATTACAAGTTACAGACAGTAGGAATGAGGAGCACACAGATAAATGAATAATAACTCTATATACTAAAATGAACTCTAGCATAAAAAGAAGCAGTCAAAAATCTGTCTTTAGCAAAACAAGGAAAGACATTTATTAATTGTATCGCACAGCGGAGTAATGTAAAAACACACACACATAGATCTAGGAACGCACACATTATATGAAACGATCCGTACGGAATCAAAAATCACAAAAACACGACTCGATATTGTCACGTTTGTCTTTTTGTATCTTTTATCAGCCGTTCTCCCACACTCCTTCACATCATGTAAGAACTAATAAAAAGAAGGCCTCCATAAAAGTATCCATTTTATGCAACAAAAGGACCCTTTCCTGACCTACATAATGCGGAATGCTATCAGGGTTCCCAAGGCTGATGTGTGAAAGCTCTGTGGCAATTAACTGAATGCTCTTTGTTAATAGATCCGCAGTAGGTCTCAGTCGCTCATCAATACGGGGGGAGGGTTTTATTTCCATTTGATGCATGCTGAAAAGGCCGGGATGTTTATCTAGTTTCACATCAATGGGCCCTTTCTAGCGGGGGAGCCATAGGACTTTATTACAAATTGAAATCTGTGAATGTGTCGACAGCTGAGGCAACAACCGGCCCCGTTTTTTTTACCGTGAACTGTTTTTAGGACGACCGGCCACAGCTAACTTCACATGTAGCTGTTTCTCAGAGTGGGGGTGGTTTCTCAAGTGGCACATGCTCTCGGCCTTCTTCGGAGTTTCTACTGTAAACACAGAGATTCTGTTTGATTTCATGGTGTTTTGTGTCTGTGTGTGTTTCTGTGTGTGTCTCTGTATCTGTGTGTGTGTGTCTCTGTATCTGTGTGTGTGTCTCTGTCTCTGTGTGCGTGTGTGTGGTGTGTGTGTGTGTGTGTCTTTGTGTGTGTCTCTGTATCTATGTGCGGGTGTGTGTGTGTGTGTGTGTGTGTCTTTGTATCTGTGTGTGTGTGTGTCTTTGTATCTGTGTGTGTGTGTCTCTGTCTCTGTGTGCGTGTGTGTCTCTGTCTCTGTGTGTGTCTCTGTCTCTGTGTGCGTGTGTATCTATGTGCGGGTGTGTGTGTGTGTGTGTGTGTGTGTGTCTTTGTATCTGTGTGTGTGTGTGTGTCTTTGTATCTGTGTGTGTGTGTGTCTCTGTCTCTGTGTGCGTGTGTGTCTCTGTCTCTGTGTGTGTCTCTGTCTCTGTGTGCGTGTGTCTCTGTGTGCGTGTGTCTCTGTCTCTGTGTGCGTGTGTCTCTGTCTCTGTGTGTGTGTGTGTGTGTCTCTGTATCTGTGTGTGTGTCTCTGTCTCTGTGTGTCTGCGTGTGTCTTTGTATCTGTGTGTCTCTGTCTGTGTGTGTGTGTCTTTATCTGTGTATGTCTGCGTGTGTGTGTGTGTGTCTCTGTCTCTGTGTGTGTCTGTGTGTGTCTGCGAATCTGTGTGTCTCTGTCTGTGTGTGTGTGTGTTTTTGTATCTGTGTGTGTCTCTGTCTGTGTGTGTGTGTGTGAGTCTCTGTGTATGTTTGTGTCTGTGTGTTTTGGTACCTGTGCGTTTCTTTATGTGTGTGTGTGTGTTTGTGTCTCTGCGTGTGTGTCTCTGCGTTTGTCTCTGTCGTCTGTGTGTGTATGTGTCTCTGTGTGTGTGTGTGTCTCTGTGTATGTGTGTATGTATGTATGTATGTGTGTGTGTTTGTGTCTTTGTGTGTCTTGGTATCTGTACGTGTGTGTTTCTTTGTATGTGTGTGTGTTTGTTTGTGTGTGTGTATAGTCCAAACATGTCCACCAAATACCACACAGCGATGCCTTTTGTCACTTTGCTCTTCTTCATAGTTGTGTGTTGTGTTGCCACAGAGTTGTTGATCTTTCAAACATTCGTGCTGATGCAGTTTGAGCTCAAAGCCTTATCTCGATCTGTCGCTGCGTCGCATGCGTCGGGAGTTCCTGTATTTACTTATTTTCATGTGTGGTAGAGACAAATATACACAATCAAAATGTGAAACACTACAACATTTATAGCCGCGGCCATTTCCCCAAAAGTCCTTTTTTAGCACAATTTATAAACACAAATATCTTTATCTTCAAAAAGGTGTCACATTTTACTGAGCCAAATTCAAGGATTATTTTCTAACAGCTATGATTTCAGAAATGACCTTGTACGTTTGGGGAAAAATGCAGCATTAGACATTCTCTTAAAGATAAAAAAAGAAATGTGTATGTATTGTGCATATTAATGATACTGGTTAAATGCTTTTGACATGGGTTTTATTTTGTTTTTTCACTTTTTTTCAAGAACAGAAAAGTAGAAACGCGGCGATTCAAAGATCAAAACGTGTGATTGGTCCATGGAACTGACACACAAACACACACACACACAGCTGTTTGGTGCATGTACGTGGGCTGTGGACGGCTCCAAATGGGCAATGTCAACAAACACTAAAATCCACTGTCTGCGAACATGGTTTAATAAACAAATAAAATCCTTGAATAATAGCATCAAAATCTTTCCCCTTTTGATGCTAGCCGTAAACATTTCCTTCATGAAACTAGACAAGTCTCCAATCGTCTTTAAAGTCGACTTAAAACTACTCGTGTGTGAGATTATTTTTTTGGGTTAGGGGCTTACTTTGAAATATTTAAAGTTTCCTCCCAGAGCGTGCAGGTTTTTATGGCTTCCACATACACGGCTTCATAATTCATAATTCATACAATGGCCATACTGTCCCACATGCCCCTTCGTGACCTACATCCGCACATGCTACATACGTGAAGCCGATTACATGTAAGAAATGAGATGGCCCACCCTTGATGTATTGTTGAGGACCTTTTATTGAAATGTCACTTTTCCCCCCTCCTATCAACATTGATTTTGCCGCGTGCATGGCTGCGGCGCGTCGGCGTGACAATAACCCCACAGCGGGCCTTTCCACACAGTTGCACACACACTGCCCCAGCGCTCACATTTTTAACCTTTAACTGTCATGTGTAAGGGGGAGGAGATGGAGCAATAACATGGCACATTAGATTGGACTATAATGAGCAGAGGTGAGGATGAGGAAGAGGACGGAGGGCATCGTTATGAGCTGAGAATGAGAATATATATTTTTAGGCCTGAAATAGATTCTTATCAAAGCTGCAGCATTGATGTCGCAATTTTAGTGGTCGCGTTTTGCAAATACTGCAATTATATCTGTTCCTAGTTTTATTTTTGTGGATTTTGATTTTGTGATGGTGTTGCTGTTGCTGTTTTGTTTTATTTTTGGATAATGCAAATGTTTTGAATATTAAGATGATAATTAGGACTATACTAAAAGAACAAGTCTTTTGAATAAGTTACAGATTAGTCGTGAGAATGCTGGTGAAGGTTTGAGTTTGTTTGGGTCGGGTGGGGGGGTAAAATGGCATTTTTTTTGTGTGTGTTACCTGTTGTTCAATTTTGGCTTGTGTATAATTGAAAAAAATAAAACAAATTAATACTGTAATTATTTAAGCTCTTCGCAAACAAAAAGGCGAAATATTTGAGGAAAATGTGTCTTGATTTGTTTTATTTTTTTTTAGAAAATTTACCCGTAGAACAAGTGTCTTTCAAGCAAAAAAAAAATCTAATTCCATTCCTCTTTTCCACAATCTTTATGAGGTGAAAATTGACCAACTCAGGTCTGACTTTAAGAGTTTAGTGAGAAAAATTCACATATTTGTCATGAATCTCTTGTTCCTCATGTGTGAGAATTGTGTATGAGGAAATCGCTTTTAGAAATATTAGTTTGTTTGAGTCTAAATTCGTTCAGGGTTAAATGCACACAGCAATCGGAATAATGGTCAGAAATATTCCAATTAAATATTATACCAAATACTTTCACACTCCATTCCTTGTGTCACTAAAGAATGGATTTGATTTGTGCGTCAGGGTTTGTGTTGCGTTTGCCTTAACATCTGTGTGTCCTGCAGAAAGGTGGTGCCATCTGGGCCGAAGAGGGCGACGGAGCAAAGGCAAGAGGGGAACCGTCCCGGGACTTCGCAAAGGTCAGCGGGCTGAGCAAATACACATTCAGCAAACAAGAAAATGTCTTTATATCGCGGGCGCTCACGTGTGTTCTCCTTCCTCAGCTTTACGAACTGGACAATGATCCGCAGAGGAAGGAATTTCTCGATGACTTATTCGTGTTTATGCAAAAACGAGGTAAAAAAACGCCGCACTTTGGTCAGACGGCATTTTCCTGAATACATAAATGATCAAAATGTATGGATTGATGTTGATATATCTATTTTTATAAAAGGTTGATAATGGATGAAGGTAATTGCAAAACATTTATATCTCTTTAATTCACATTTCATTAGTTTTAGTGCATATTTCTATTCTATTCAACATTGTCATTCACACAACAGCTGGTTAGACGCTAAACTGCATTTCGTTGCATTGTTCTGACTTTGTACCTAATAGATACTTTATTGATCCCCGTTGGAGAAATTCAGGACAATAAAATAATATATATTAGGGGTGGGAACCTCAGGGTACCTCACGATTCGATACGATACGCGATACAAAGCTCACGATAACGATTGTATCACAATATGACGAGTATTGATATACAGTATTGCTCAGAAATATACTGTTGTGGAAATCTTTTAGTAAAGCAATCTGAATAAACACGAAATAGTTATAAGTGTAAGCTATTAACTAATTCTCAACTGTGGATTCAGATACAGCACATGTTGGCATAAATAAAAGAAAGTGAAATGGAGATGTGTAATGTAGCCATATAATAAGTATTGATACTAATTTAGAAGAAAAAAAATAAATACTTGGCAAAAGCATTGATAATCGATCGGGTGAGAGTATCACTCACTCAAGTATCACGATATCGATTTATCGTCACACTTCTAATATGTAATGACAATAAAGTTGAATCTAATATAATCTAACGTTCAAAATCAAGTAAGAAGAAGAATCCAACATTGATCCTCTCCATGTATTTTTTCATATATAATCTTTGCATATTTTTATAGAGAAACCAACGTATTGCCATTTTGTACAATCAATGACTATTTTTCTTTTTCTTCATGTCACTTTTTGTTATGGAGCCATCATGAGCAAAACAACTATTTATAATCAGCATCAGAATTTCACAATGGGTGCTGCTCTGCCCGAATAGAAACATGAACCTTATCTACCAAAGGAAAACCTGCCTCCTATCTACGTCTTGAACCTAAATTTGGAGCTTAAAAACTGCATCAAACACGTTCTTTAAGTCGAGGTTAAGTCGTAAAATGCCATGAACGGCGAGAGACAGTAGCTCCATTCTCTGAAGAAAGGGTCACGTCGCGGTCAGGCTGAGGCCACATATGCTTCTTGTGCATTTTAAGTACAACCTAATCTCATTCCTGCCACTGCTCTCAGCCTTTTCATTAATTGGTTTTCGTCCAAATCGGGATTGTAAAGGTTAGCTGTCAATGCCTCTGATTGGCAGATCTCCCCTCCCCCCCCCAGGGCTGGAATCAATGCGGCCTCAGAGCTGCACACTGTTGCATGGGCCCAACCCCCCCCGCCCCCCACACCCACACACGCTGCACATGAATTAGGCTTTATTAGCAGACTACATCCCTGCAGATTATGCACGCTTAGCTATTTTACACATCGCCGTATTACTGTAGCGCCTGCGTGGTCGTCTGGTGATGGCGCCGAGACGTTCAGTCGATCTACGCAGCGGTTTGTTTTGTTCATTTATAGCTAACTGTTGCACACGGGTTTATATCTTAGACTTCAACTGTCACATTTCTAAATTAAGTCAATGCGTGTGTGTGTGTGTGTGTGTGTGTCTCTGTGTTTGTGTGTGTGTGTGTGTGTCTCTCTGTGAGTGTGTGAGTGTGCGTGTACTCTGTCTCTGCATCTGTCTGTGTGTGTGTCTGTTTCAGTGTGTGTCTCTGCGTGTGTCTCTGTGTGTGTCTGTGTGTCTCTGTCTGTAAGTGTGTGAGTGTGCGTGTACTCTGTGTCTCTGCATCTGTCTGTGTGTGTGTGTGTCTGTTTCAGTGTGTGTCTCTGTCTGTGTCTGTGTGTGTGTCTCTGTGTGTTTCTGCATGTGTGTCTGTCTGTAAGTGTGTGAGTGTGCGTGTACTCTGTGTCTCTGCATCTGTCTGTGTGTGTGTCTATTTCAGTGTGTGTCTCTGTCTGTGTGTGTGTCTGCGTGTCTCTGTCTGTGAATTTGTGTGCGTCTCTGTGTGTGTCTGCGTGTGTGTCTCTGTTTCTTTGTGTGTGTGTCTGTCTCTGCGTGTGTGTCTCTGTGTATGTAAGTGCGTCTCTGTGTGTGTGTCTCTCTCTCTCTGTGTGTGTGTGTGTGTGTGTGTGTGTGTCTCCGCGTGTCTCTCTGTCTCTGTGTGTGTCTCTGTCTTTGTGTGCGTGTCACACAAAAAGGTCTAACATGTCCCTAAAAGGCTAAACCTGGCGCTTCACTCTCATCGTTTGTCTCAACCCTTGTTCACGAGTTTATACATATTCAATATTTTCATTCTCACCAACTCCAAACCGACACGCTCTCCTCCTGCAGGGACCCCAGTGAACCGCATCCCCATCATGGCCAAGCAGGTGCTGGATCTGTACAAGCTCTACAAACTGGTGACCGAGAAGGGAGGCCTGGTGGAGGTCATCAACAAGAAGATCTGGAGAGAGATCACCAAAGGCCTGAACCTGCCCACCTCCATCACCAGCGCCGCCTTCACCCTGCGCACACAGTCAGTCCCACGTTTTCCATCAGAGAAGTGCATTTCCTAAACGTACAAAGCAGAAATCTACTCTTTAATTAGTTCTCGGCTAATGGACGGTGTATCCTGGCATTCCCGTTCATGGGTTTCTGGGAAAACTAGACATGTAACCGGTTCGTTTTTAATGTCGTGTATGTATAATTTCAGAGATGCCATTGTAATGTGGTGGACCTTTTATTCTGCCATTACCGCTTTCACATCCACACCCGCATTTACAGGTTTAACACAAGAGCAGCATGAAACAAGGAACTAATGCTGTACTTCAATAATTATAGCCATTTCTCTTTGGAGTAGTTGTTTCCTCTGATATGAACAGACACAATTTTGCTCAAATCACCAGTGGAAAGTTTGAATTGAAGCTTTAGTTAAACTTTTAGGTTTTGTAAGCCTTCATTTTTGTCTTGACTGTGTGCTAGTATCCTGTTTTTGTTTGTTTGCATTTCTCTCTATTTGTAGAGCGCCCAAACAGAACCATCCAAAAAGATCCATCCAGTCCCAATCCATTCTCACACACACAATAAAAGTAAATGAATGAATCATAAAGCCATAAAAACCCCATTCTTTATTGCTTTACGAGGCTGAGTGCAGGTAAAAAAAAAAAAAAAAACAGTGGAGAAAGCACTATCTAAGGAGCAGCCAATCACAACACTCGACACTGCTCTTGTTGTTCCTCAGCTCAGTAGTTTGATGGATTCCTTTCCTCGTGCAGATACATGAAGTACTTGTACCCGTTTGAGTGCGAGAAGAAGGGCCTGAGCTCTCCGGTGGAGCTGCAGGCCGCCATCGACAGTAACCGCAGAGAGGGCAGGCGTCCCAGCTACACCAACAGCCTGTACCGCTACTCCCCGTCCCCTGGGACCGGCCCCCACGCCCTCCTCTCCTCTCCCACCCTCCAGGCCACTCCGACCGGGCACAATGGTATCAGCGCCTCTGCCAGCCCCAACATCAAGAGAGGTACACGTGACTCTCTCGGGATTCTGTCATGAATGTAATCTTCTACATTTGTGGTTCATCGATGACAATACATGGTGTGAAAAACTATAGGAGCAGAGGGTGTGCGCGGGTCTAGATTCAAGATTGTATTTGCCATTTGCAGAAAAAACACAACAACTGTGCGAGACTTGCCTCCATGTGCACCAGATATATACACACCAGAGCTCTTGCAAAAACTAATATCCAATCTTAAAAATACAAAATTATTGTGAATTGTGTAGTTATTTGTATCTTTTTAGCTAGAAACCTTAAAAAGCAACTTTAACTTTAAAAAGGGCAACAAACACTTTCTGGTCCACATGTGACCACTAAAATTCTGATCGCTCATGTAGCATGTTTTTGGTGGTCTGCTTTATACTAAATACAGTACAATCATTGTTCTGATCATTAAAAACACCTGTTTCTGTCCATCAGAAGAGGTGACCCCTCCCCTGCTGCCCGGCCGCCTGCCCCTGGGCCTCACCATGGGACAGCAGCAGCAGCTGGCTCAGGCCGCGACTCTGGAGCAGCTGAGGGAGAAGCTGGAGCGCGGGGCTGGAGCCGGACAGGACGGACCAGAGAAGAAGATGATGAGACTGGCTGAAGAACAGCAGCGCCTCATGCAGCAGGCGCTGCAGCAGAACCTGCTGGCCATGGCCTCACACTTCAAACCCATGAACCTCAAGCTCAACAATGGCCAGGGTCAGTCTCTTTGTTCTGCTTCAAAACTGAACATGTGTTTCTCTTGCTGACTTTTTATTTCTTCTTCTAGAAAACAAGCAGGACATGTCTTTCTCCATTTCCACTAATGGGTCGACCAGTATCAGCGTCTCTGTGGAGGTCAATGGCACAGTTTACTCAGGTAAATGCAAAACAAAAAAGATATATTCTAGGTTTATTTATTGGGGGTAATATTTTAGTAGAAGCTGGGGAACTGTATTTATTGGTATTAAATATAATGTTTTGTGAATGATGTCATTTAAAGTCTGTAAATGTAAGACACGGTCATGTATCCATCTACATTAGAATCTGTTTAAATGAATATAACATTCAACAATATATCAGCCTGCCCAGGGACTACAGGTGGAAACTAGCATCTTAGGGTGCTTTCACACCTGTTGGTCCACTAAAGTGGTTCACTTGGGCCCTAAAGTTGTTACAATGTTGCAGTTCTCAACTAGTTTGGTTCTCATTCACACCAGTGTTTTTGCAAATGAACCAACCACTGTGGATGTTACATATTCTACCACCCATGTGGTGGCGCTGTTCACAAAATACTGTGTTTTGGATGATGTATGTGAACCCTGATTGGTGCAGGATGTGAAGAGGGAAAAATACCAGAAGAAAACAAACTTGTCACATTTTTAACGATGAACTGTGCTGCTCTAGTGTGAGGCTATTTTTTTATCATCGTTGCTTTGTGCCGCACAAATACTGTAGTTCCAGTTTGTATCACAGAGATCAGCACGAGAACACTCTGCGGTTGTTTTTGACTATTCCATCATATAAAAAAAACTGTGTGTGTCAAAAAGTGAGCTACGCAACAGAGCAGGGCCATATCGAGGCCGGTCTGCGTTCTCACCAGCAGTGAACCAGACTGGAGTCCGCATGGAACGGTTCTTTAGTCCGGACCAAATTTAACTGGTCCACTTTCACACCTGCTCAAACGAACCGTACTTGCAAGTGTTCCAGACTCCAGTCCGTTTTAAGTGGACTAAATGGTGCAGGTGTGAAAGCACCCTCAGCTATAGCCTGGTACAGTGAATATCTCCTTTGTGTTGATGTTTAATTGTACACTGTCCCTGTTCAAATAAAGTACATACCATACCATACCATACCATTTTAGATAATGCCTGCCCGTCATTTTTATTTCCATGTAAGAAGCAGGAAGTTACAGACCAGGAAATTGTGTATCACGTATTGCGTGTCACATAAAAGCAATGTGACACACAATGTTTGTTTTGTATATTTTCACCAATCTTGATGTGTTGTGTCCATCTCAGGAACCCTGTATGCCCAGAAGGCGCCCGCTCCTCCTGCGGCCTCCCAGTCCGTCACAGCGGCCGGCACCAGCGGCTTCAGCGCCCTGTCCTCCAACCTCTCCCCCTCCTCTTCATCCTCTCCGTCCTCCTCCAAGGGACCCAACTAAGTACCACCAGTAACTGTTAACATACCTCTTTTATTAGACAACCATGTAACCTCAACTTTACAATGTTCAAATGGCTTCCCGGTCTCAGGAATTTTCTTCTTTATCTAATATTTATAGCCTTGCTTTTTTGTATTTTTCTTTTCATATAGCAATTTTCATTTGCAAAGGGAAGCGAGTAAGAGACCAAATGATTACATTTGAACAATATAGAGGATGTATTTTAAATCAACTTCAAGCGCACAGTCTGAATGTAACTCGTCAATATTCAGGGGATCTCCGAAAATGTCTTGTAGATGCAATATATACTTCAAATCCTTATAGCTACGGGTATCAGATTGCCATAGTGCCTGGTAGGAGAGTTTTTATGTAGTGGCATTGTTTCCTAAAGAGACCTACTGGTTGGTCGGAATTGTCTTTAGAAAACAAAAGAGAAATTCTATCTCTCTACGTATGTGTCAACTACTTTAACAGCTTGGTTTATGATACAGTTCTTTTCACCGGAACAATGAGGTCTCCAAAGTGTAGCTAACAAAGACCAAAAAGCCTTAGTCTCCTCTGTTGTGTATGGCCATTGACGGGCATGTTTAAGGCAATCGTAAAGTCAGGAAATAATTTATGTACGCAGCCTATTTCTGCAGAATTGGTTTATACATTTAATAGGTTTTTTTTGTGGGTTTTTTTGGTTTTTGATATTGCACAGATGGTTTGACTTGGCCTCAAAATCCGCAAAAATATGTCTTAGTTTTGTCTGTAATCGAAAAGGCAAGAGGATGCAGTCTTTTGGTTGTTTTATATACACAAACTTTCTTCTGAATGTAGATGTAAGCAATTACCTCAACTTATGCAGCGCTCAGGAAGAGTTGCCGTTCACTGTATACGGTTTATTCTGGCTAAACTGCTGATGTGTTTTATAAAGACGGGGAATGTGCCCTCAGTGACAAAATAACCTCAGGCTTTGTTCAGTAGAGCATTTATGAACCCACTCTGAAACAGTGCTACCTCACACAGAAATATGCAATTCTTTGAGCAGCATTCGTTTGTTGGCTGACAATCAAGTTGACATATCAGTGCACGTGTCACTGTGAACTATATAGAAACCTTATGTAACCTCAGTTTGGATCATGTATTTCTTGGACCTGTGGCCATGAATAAAACAATCGTGTGTGTGTGTGTGCTGTAGCTCTGCTTGTCCTGTCTTCATTCTTCCTCTGGGTTTGACATGATTTTTACCCCCCTTACGCTAGAACAGAGTGTCGTAAATAATGAATACGCAAATATTTCTTCCATCTGTTATGGTTTTAAAGCTGGTGTACTGAACTTCTTTGGTTTCATTAATACATCTAGGTTTTCTCCACAAAATACTGTCTTTTACGTAACAACAAATCAGACCACAACAAGCGCTCTTTCTTACTGGGAAACATCTGCGTTACATTCTGAGAGCTGATTGGTTGAGAGTGGTCCTCACTTTTTCACTTTGCAGATGCATTTATTTGAAAACGGATAGAAGGGCTTGAGAATGAGCGATTATAGCGTCATAGATTTTAATTGAATGTTTTTAAGGTTTCAAAGTTGGGTACTCTAGCTTTAATTTGATCATTTGTTACATAAGTAAATATTAGATACCTACTTTGAGCTGAGGGCTAATTTGCTGGGTGAGGGTAGTCCACTCTTTTTTTTTTTTTTCCCAAAATACATGCATTTGAAAACAGGTGAAAGAATGAAATTGTTTTTAGAATGCGGAACTAGTGAGAGCCACACGGTAAAGAGTTTTAAAACTAGTAAAATTATATTATTCCATTGCCAGATGGGGGTGCCATTTTATATCTACATTATGATCCAAGTCCCTTTTTAATCTTCTATGGTCTGTTTTGTGTGGACCTGCCAATCAATCTGTTCCACCCATTCATGAAAATGTATACAAAACAGAAATTTGGAAGATGTTTTTCTTGCAGCATCAACACTCAGGCTGTTGCTTTTTTTTTTTTTTTATAGATTTTCATGTGTAAAATATTAAATTAAAAGATAAGAATATGAAGGGTAAAAGCAGAGAGACATCTGCATGCAGAGGTAATCCTGACCAGTTGTTTTCCTAATGGACATAGAGCTTGTGTTTCCGAGGGGAGGGGCTGGGAGGGGATTTACCCTGACTTTGATGGAGACTAGGGTGACTGACTGCTATCTACATCTGGGACGCTGCAGAAGTGAGATACCCTGGGACAAGAGGTATTATGAAATGGATATCCCCGCCCATGCCTGCTCCCCACCCATCACACAAGCATTACACCACCATTGTCCCGCCGCCACAGCTGATCCCACAGCTACACACGCCATGGGACCAAAGGACTAACCCAAAACCATTTTTTTGTTTTAATATCGTGGATTAACCATTTGCTATCGAAGAAGAAAATGCAATGCTTTCAAATGACTGCAGAATGCTGTTGACTGGCTGCGTTTCTTCAATGGGATGCATCATGTTGAATAACTTTTGGATGTTTTAAGGTAGTTTTAGACTCATTCTGTTGCTACGATGCCATACCAGGATGAGGAGTACCCCGGACAGCCGCTGTGGCAGTCCGTCCTGTTGTTCTGCTGTAAGGGAATGATAGAAGGAATCATCGTTGTGCTCTTCTTCTGGCTCCTGATCCAAGTCTTGTTCACCAAACAGCTTGAAAGTAAGTTTATTTTGAATTATGGAATATGGAATTATGGGAGAATTATGATTTATGCCTAACAGTGGAAGATAGAGCTGAACTAAAGTGGGGAAAGTGTACATAATAAAAACATAGTAATAGTTGTAAGGTTAAAACTAATTCAACTGTCTTCAATTAAATATACTTAAAGCTGGGGTACCTAACTTTCGAACCACAATAACTACACTGCAAAAAATGATAAAATATAAGGTAATTGCTTTAATCGAGATGTTTTTTATTCATAATTTGAGCTCATTCTGACATTAAAACAAGATTTGCCAATGGGACAAAGCCATTTAGACTTATTTCCAGAACTGTTGCTTTATTTTCTCATTTTACGGGAAAAAAAATCTTGTATCTTTTTAAAACAAGATATTTTTGCTTTGTTCTACTGGCAAATCTGGTTTTAAGGCAGTCAGAATGCACTCAAATGAAGATACACTTTGCCAACTTCAAGCATTTTCCGGCTTCTTTTTCATAATTTTCTTCAGTGAATGCAATGACATGTTAGAATAAATGTTTAGTTCACCCAATAGCTTTCACACGCATTTATTATTGGGAAAACTCATCTAAAGAAATGACAGAGGCCAACAAAAAAGGGAAAAAGAGAGGACCATCCCCATCCCCACTCAACCAGCCCAAAGTATCATAAAGTTGGGACAGAGATTATTATGTGAGTATTGTGTATTATTGGAAAAATTAGGTACCCCAGGCTTTTATCAAAATCACAATATCTTCCAAACCTAGAAAAACAAAAAAGTCTCCCTGGAAACCACTGACACATAGAGCCCTGTGTTTGACCTGGAAATCTCTTGAAAAGTTAATTTTCTCTGGCTGTTGTGCTGACTGGCTTAGCCTTTGTGTGCCCACAGTTCATCTCCAAGTGCTGCTGCTGGTTGGCCTGGTAATCTTCTGCCTCTCTTTGCTCCTGGGGTGTTTCATTTGCTGCAAGAAAAGCCACTTCTGTTCATCAGAGGATAAAGAAGCCCCTGCAGCCTCATGTCCTGCTCCCTCCGAACCTGCGATCTTCAGCCCAATCCCCGCTCCCCTGGTCGCACCTTCCTCCGGGCTGCCCTCGAACCCCAGGCTGCACTACGAGGAACTAGACGGTGACATGATGGAGTACCCGTCTACGTTCAACAGCCCAGCGCCTTCGGAGAAAGACTTCAAAAGCTTCAAAGAACACCCACGTTCTTACTTCTCGCTCCGTCGTCTGAGCACGCCGCAGCTGTCTCCGTCCTTCTACAAACCAATCGATCAATCCAGCCACACATCGCTGCCCGTGTTTCCCAAATTCCTTTCCAAAACGTGTAGAGCTGCCCAAAGACGCTGCACCGTGACTGGGGTTGACCTGTTCGACGAGAGCAGCAGGTTGACCAGTCCTGGATCCGTTTCTCCATCAATGCCAGAGGAGCCTATACCACTGGCGTCTTTGAGTTATGGCTCGGTCTCACCAAAACCCTGCCTGCACTTTACTATGGCCTTCTCAGCGGAGCATCAAGTCCTGACCGTGAGCATTTTACGCATCTCCGGGACGCAACACAAGCTGGAGGATGTGTCGATTCTGGGCAGCCTCCCTCCGCTGTACCCCTGTCCCGTTCAGGCTGTTTTGCAGAGTGGCCTTTGCCTACAGCCGCAGACGGTCACGCTGCTTTTGAAGGTGAATTCGGTGAAGGAGCTCCAGCAATGTGTGCTGAGGATAGGGGTCAGCCTCCGGGACGTGCCCCCAGAAGGCAGCGGTGCGGTAGGAGAGCTGGAGGCTGTGTGCGCGGGGCGAGGATGGAAGAGTGACCAGCTGTTTTACTTGACAAAAGAGCTCAATCAGGTCAAAGGGGTGCTAAAAACTGGTGCTCATCCTTGAATCTGCTGCTTGTGAAAACATTTGTGTGCTGTGTGTGTGATTAGAACTAAAATGATTTGTAATAACTCTTCACATCCTCATCTTGCATCTACTGGTCTTGAAGTTAAAGCCAACCACTCAGGTATAATTACACTTCTGTAGATTTATAACGAATACTAGTAGAGGCCATTTACAAGGTTTGTAACTTTTTGAGTTATATTCACGCTTGCTTTCAATGTTTAGGAGATTACATGATGTCTTCCAGGAGCTGGATGCCGCACGAGATGATCCCTTTTTAATGATTGTGCGTTAATCCTTCTCATTTCACAATCCTCAGGAAATGTTTCAATCTCTTGTGATTCTCAGTCGACAGATGTAATCTTTGTTTGCATTACTGTGTTTGTATCTGTCATGAATACACTGCATCCTCACAGTGTGGAGTGTATCAGTTGCAGACAGTCTGTCAGGCAGATGCACATACAGTACATACTGTATATATCTATAAATATATGTATGTAATATATACATATATTTATAGTTTACTGAGCTGGGGTCAACTCCTGCTGAAGTCTGATAAAACTGATCATGTGAAGTCAAATCAATGTTACAGATTGAATGTATTTATTGTTTTGCATTTTGAATGAAAAATGTGCTGCATTCATTTCTATTTTTAACTAAATGAAGAAAAATGTATCTCTTGCAGAAAGACATTACCCTCTTGTGTGACCACACAAACGCACACAGACACAACCACAAAACAAGGTACTTAATCCACAACAAATTAACAACAATGTTGTTTTAAGAAATGTATTTTACTGAATCCATTATACATAAATATAATGTAAGGCACAGCAATACAATAAGTTATAAGTATATTTTTCAAATCTAATTTAATGAGCATATACATTAAATATAAAATAATGGGAGCTATTGGAGGAATTGAAGCACAGTTGATCTATCGCTCTGAAAGGCCGAAGCAGGTAACTTTAGCAAAGATAAGGTCTGATGTTAATAGAATAAGTAATATAATGTTAATAAGTGGCTTCGTCTTCATCAGGGCTGCAAATATCGACTCTCTCCACCTGAAAGATCCCATCAGGACACAGCAGGAGGTCCTGGTCCAGAGCAGGGGAAGACGTAGTCCTCAGCAGGAATGGGTCTAAAAATAAAGTAAAAAGAAACGCAATGAAGATCTAAAACTGTGATAGTTTTAGTGAAAAGGGAACGAGTGATACGTTAAGTCTAGCAGAAGTGGGAAAGACAGTCACTAAAGATCCACAAAAGGAAGCAGCAGAAACAAAAGCAACTATACGATGAAGCAGAATCATGTCACACATTCACCTCGACTGCCGCTCCGCTCGGTCACCGCTGACGTCTGAAGACAAGAGCACGTTAAACAGTTGTTCAAAACCTAACGGTTGTAGGATTCAAAGTCTATACTTCTGAATCACTTTTTAAGGGTAACTGTACAACTCTGTGTAAACCCTCATTTGTCCAGATTTTATACAAATAAACTAAATAATATGTATTTTAATATTTCCACTGGGACAAAGCTATTCCTCACTCAGATCGATAGATGCATTTGCGATGGCGTTCCTTAAAAGCCAACATTATTTGTTTATGTCGCATCCGAGCGGCCGACTCGTCTTTTTTAAGTCGGATTATTTCCAGAGTAGAAAGAGCCACATATGCTTAATGCTGAACATACATTGGTCCCGCTCCCCGCCCCCCGCATTCTGTGGGCCTTTTGATTACAGCACAGACTGGGATTATGGCCGTCTGCACATATGTGTCAGTGTATGGACTGAGGTGTCACACTGACATTATTCATGCCACACAATTATACCATATATATCTTATCCATTTGTTCCTGCAGATGTTGCATTGAGTTTAGATGTAATTCTTTCTCTTTTGGGGATAAAAGCAATGCCAGTTCTAACTTTCATGGGGACTTATACAAAGCATGTCTCAAGGATCTATTTCAGGTTTTTCTTAATAGATTTTTATTTTAATACAATATTATGTATCTCTATGGGACTGTTTGGTTACATAAATACAAAACAAAAATAGATTACATGAATGGTTTTAGTTTTGATGTTATCCAGTGATTTTTTTGGACATTCTTCGGGGCCCTAAGCAGCTGCCTAGTCCCGCTTATAGAGTAGGGTCTGCCCTGTTAAACAGAGTAAGCTTCACAATGAATACATTTCAGTTATAACCTGCATAATAAAGGCAGTGTTAAGTGTTTTTATAGCTTGAATGACAGTTATGCCTCCGTTAGATCTGCAACTTACGTCTCAATAAGATTTTCTGGAGTCCAGCACTAGTTTATTAAATTTGATTCCATTGCTGCACTGTAATTATCTTTGGTGCCGGACAATTTCCAGGCCTCATTTCCCCATCCTCTTGTTTAGCCAATTTCAATCAATATAACTTTATTAATCCCTGAAGGAGACTTTTAAGCTTTTAAGACAGAAAACAGGACAATAGAGCTGCCATTTTGGACACTCCTTATCTAATTAGACAGAAACACACTAAACATCTCTTAGCTCCAGTGACACACAACAACAATGCATTTTAGTCAAACCTTGTCGTCTTGATCTTCATCCCCCGGCTCCTCCTCCTCAAACACTGGCATGAGACTTGAGTCCGGATGCCAGCCCCACCTATCATGCTGCATAGTTGGAATAAAACAGGAAATAAATTCAAAACAAATAAATAATGTGGTTAAAATCATATATATCTGCTACAGTACAACACAGATCTGAGGCCTATATCTTACTCGTGTTAAAGACATTGGTGTTTGGATCCAGCTTTGAGCTGATCCATCTCCAGACATTTCATTTTCTTCTTTTTCCTGTAGACAGTTTAACGACAAGGGAATCAGAATAAAGTAGATAAACTGCTTTAGCGTATCACTGGACGCTCTGTGTGAAAAAAGCTCTGATGGAACCGTTTGGCACCTGCTCATCGACCAATGTCTGCTGCTCTGTGTTATTTCTCCTCTCTTCAGCTGAGGTTTCCTGATCTTTAGGCTGTAGAAAAAGTAAATTACAAAAAACAAAACATGATTTACTTTGATCAAAGCATTACCTGATACTGATATGGTTTAAGTACAGTGTCTGTTGTCTCCTGCTCAAGCTGGGTTTCTGTATTATGTCTCTCTAGACGTTTGAAAACACATAGAAAAGACATTAAAAATAAACACTTTTGTCATTTATTCATGATATTGTTGATTGATCTGAGCCCTGACCTTTCACTGACTCTCTCATGTGTGCATTGGTGCAGTCCTCCACATCCTCGGTGCCTCCTGCGGTCTCAGCCTCCAGCTGTGTGCGCATTTGTCCAAAATAGATTTTAGCATAATGAAAAATGCTTGTTCACATCCTAAGCCTCAGGAGAAATCCTGCACTGGCCATAATATGAACTGAGGTAAAGTGATTATGTGAAAAGGAATAATCCCAATGATGAATAAAACTACATTTAAATAATATTACAGTCTAGACTTTCCTGTGCTGGGGTTGGGCAATTCTAATTCTTACTTTGTTCTGATGGCTCTGATGACGGGAGCTGCAACACAAAAACATTTTAGCTATTGTAAAAGGCATCACGCTGACACAGCCTAAAACACTCACTCTGTCATAGTCTCTTTGTCCTGAGTTTGGAGCGTGTCACCTCCTGCAATTTGAATACAACAGAAAACAAGTGTCTTTAGCGCCCCCTGGTGACACATGTACACACTTTCAAAACGCATATTACCATTTCTGTTCTGTTTAATGAGCATAGCTTGACTTCTGCTTTTCACCAGCTCCAGTTCTTGCTTACATGCGTTCAGCTCAAGCCTGAGATACGAATCTGATTCATTCTGCAAAACAACATCAAAAGTGACGCAAACTCGGTCTAGCTTGAAAGTTTACACTTACCCAGCCAGGGATGTCATTTTTGGCCATATTTTGGAGATTATGTATGTGTTCCTGGAGACTTTCTTTAACCCAATTTGTGTTTATTTTAAAAAGAACTTAAATATACAAACACACATACACAGAGATTCAGGACAACACATAACAACCTACAAAACATTATTTATTATCTATACCAGTGGTTCTCAAACTTTTCACACCAAGTACCCCCTCAGAAAATACTTGCCTCTCCAAGTACCACCACAAATGACCACACCACACAGTAGCGTAGTAAGCCGAAGTATTCATCAATAACAAGGCAGAGGTTTCATTCCTAAAGAAGTATATTTAATGTAATATTTTACACAGTTTCAACAGTAAGACTGCGCTTAAATATAGGAAAAAAAAATTGTTTTAAATGTTTCATTCATTGCGAACTGCAAAGCCTCACTGTGAGTGATATTCTGGAGTGAGATCTTTGTCCACAGAAGGTTTGGACACTGGTGCACTTTAGTTTCTAAGGCTTGTTCTGCTGCCGTCTTACAACTGTCGTTTACTCAGAGACATGTTCTCATGGTTTGGATCAAATGATCGTTTGTTGCTCTCTGTTCCTTTTGCACAGAACTGGGAAAAAAAACTGCTCCTTCTACATGGAACGTGTTGCAAAAAGACTAGAAATGATCTGATCTTATTTCCTTGAATGCTTTTAGATCCAGATTGAGACATCTTCAGTGAAATGTAACTGTTTTTATAATCCGTAATTTTATGAAATTGTGTGTTACTGTTGTATAATCTGTATGTGACTATTTTATCATCTGTATGTGACTGTTTTATCATCTGTAATTTTATGTAATTTTTGTACACGAAAAAGAGGTTCTCATTGACTGCCAGCCATTTTTTGATGACTTCACTGATTTTTAAGACTCACAAAATATTATGTGCTATGAAAAATATGAAACCAGAGTCTGAAAGACAGGACTGTCTACTTTCAGCAGCAAAAATAAGTTTGTTCTTAGTTTGTTTCGTTCTCCTGTGATCTCTGCAGGAGATCTGCAGAAAAGTGATTGTAAAACTATTTAGTTTAACTTTAGCATCTCCTCAAACATGTCCAAGATCTTACATGTTAGAAAACAGCAACACGTTTTGAGAAAGTGTTTTTAATGTAAAATAATAAGTTTTATGGCACACACACATCCACAAAGTGTTGCTCAAAAATTTCAAAATGTACTCATCCAAAAAATGTCAAAATGTACATATTGAAAGTAGAGCCCATGACAAACTATGCCAGATAGAATGGCCAGTATTCATCCATTAGGTGGCACTATATTTATGTCAATAAGAGTAAATCAAAGAATAACAAAATTACAATGATAAACACTATGCATGACAATAAATCAAAGTGAATACTTATACTTATAGTATAAGTGCAACAGAATACTGCTGTGTCTCTTTGTGTGTTTGGGCGTGCATGTATGTGCGTTTATGCACGCGTTTGTGTGTTTTTGTGTGGTTACATCTACAGAGCGTCTGTTTAGTCCGGCGTGCGCTGTGACCATATCTGGACTTTGCTGCTGGCTCCTGGTGTGGACTCAGTGATAATTTTAGCAATAGTCCACTTTTCTATGGCTTTTTTGAGGTGCTCCACTGGTCTGCTGTCCTGACCCTCCACATGGTCTGCTGCTAGGACCCTCCACATGGTCTCTGTCAGCTCTGGAGACACATTTACTGCTCAAACTGCCTCCAAATGTAGCCTGACCCTGACTATATTACTCCATGTCTGCTTCACCTCTGTCTCTCCTGCTCAGAGTGCTCAGAGTGATCTTTGACCAAGCCAGGGAGCTCTGCTGCCACCTGCTGGCCTAATAAAATACTGTCTACAGCCAAACCCCAGACTGTATGATACAGGGGACACAGACTGACAGGAAAAGATTGAAAAACAATGTTGTCCTCAAATGACACCCATGGCTATCAATGAGTTAATCACAATGGGACTTTCCTGGTAAAATAAAAAAAAAAAAAAAAAAAAAAAAAAAATTCACAGATTTTTTTTTTTTCACAGATTCTTTGGCGTACCCCTAGAGGGCGCCCGCGTACCACTAGGGGTACGCGTACCCCAGTTTGAGAAACCCTGATCTATACGACTCAGAGGAAAAGTGAGTTTGAAGGAGACATTGCACCAGTCATTGGGCTTCAATCTTGTGGCAACCATCTTTTTGGTTTGGCTCTTTCTGCCAAGAAGAATGGGCAGCTTTATCATCAGACGGATAAGATAAGATAAACTTATACTTGTCTCTCTGTGGAAATTCCAAAGTCACATTACAGCAGAACACTCAGGATATTCGCACATCAAACAGGATCTATAATTTAAGAAAATAGATAATGAAATGATCGCTAAGCGGAGATAAGCTATAATTGCACTTGGGTCAAAGAGAAGTCACTTCTGGAGTGTAGTCTGTAGTCAGCAGCATCGTGATGGTTGGTATTGTACTTAAACAACAAAGAATATGACCGGAATAAATAATAGTAATGACACCCGCAGGTAAAGTGGTCAGTGTATTATGAAAACAGATGAATGCAATATGTAATAAAAGATAAAAAGGTAAAAAATAAAAATAAAAAAATGAAAGGAGAAAGAACCTCATTCACATCTATCTCAAAAGTAAGTAAGTAATGTTTATTTATATAGCGCATTTTACAGACCAAGGTCACCCAAAGCGTTTTACAATGTTCAGATATTGTTCCAATCAGTCCACACACGGTGATGACGGAAGCGAGTCGCCGAACAAACTGGACCATCTGCCCCCAATCAACACCATCCATTCACTCATTTATATTCATACCTATTGTGCATGATTTTAGTGGTAGGGGAAACCGGAGCACACGGAGGAAACCTATGCAGACATGAGGAGAACATGCAAACTCCACTCAGAAAGGCCCTGTTCCGACCGGGATTCGAAACCCAGGACCTTCTTGCTGAGAAGCGAGAGTGCTATCCACGCAGCCACCGTGCCGCCCAAAAGGCTCCAAGCGGTCATTGATATTAAAGGGGAAGTACACGCAATAGAGACCTGGGGGATGGAAACTTCTAATCAGGGTCAGAAGAGTGGTTTCTGTTGTCATTATGATTTGAAAGCAGAAAACTTGTTCATTTGACTAACAATGAGTAAAAAAATCATGCACAGTGTCTGAAATTTGGCCAAAGAGATCTGCCTGGGTTTGTAAACGTCCGTCTGTGTTAATGTGTGAGCTTACTTTGCTTCTCCTCCTCAGCTCCTCCAGCTCGCTCTCCGCAGACTCTAACGCCAAAGCGGCCCTCTGCCACTTCTCCGTCCAATGGGAGACCACCACCTTCAGCTCGGCGATGTTCCGGACCCGACCTGCGTCCGTTCTGCCACAGTTCTCCTCCAGAAGTCTCAGCTGCTGCTCCTTTTCAAACACGGCAGTCTCCAAAAACAGACAACGGTCCTGCTGCCTCTGCTTCTCCAGTTGGGTCGATTTCAAGGATTCTCTAAAACAAAAGAGAATGAATTTGAGGGAAAATGACTGTAAAATTAACACACCTAAATATACAAAAGTAAGACATTACAGTATGTACAAAGTAAAAACAAGTTGGGGTTTTTCCATGTTTAGTTCTATCACTATGGTTACCACACACACTTTTTCAGACAGAAAAGTGATCGACTCTTGATAGACCATCGACTAGTGACTCTCTCTCTCTTTTTAGAATGCAAATGAGATGCCATCATGTTGGATTCGTTCACATTTGACTTATACAAGACTTTCTTTTGGGGCAATCAACACGTATGCTGCGTCGATAGCACTCTCGCTTCTCAGCAAGAAGGTCCTGGGTTCAAATCCCGGTCGGAACAGGGCCTTTCTGAGTGGAGTTTGCATGTTCTCCCCGTGCCTGTGTAGGTTTCCTCCAGGTGCTCCGGTTTCCCCTACCACTAAAAACATGCACAATAAGTATGAATGTGAATGGATGGTGTTGTTCGGCGACTCGCTTCGACTCGTGTGGAAAGATTGGAACAATATCTGAACTCTGAACATTGTAAAGCGCTTTGGGTGACCTTTGTCTGTAAAATGCGCTATAAAAAATAAACATTACTTACTTATTTACAATTATATATGAAAAAGTAAACAAACAAGTGCCCCAGCTTCAAATTTATGTCATGGTGGTGGTACATTTTATCTACTGCGTCACTTTGTCCCAGACCCATGTGCTGCTAACATGTACAGATGTAAACATACAACTACAGTATATACTTTACTTGCACTAGAAAATACAGTGCTTTATACTGAGTGCTTCGTAGAATGCCAAAGGTTTTCATTATACTTCTTTATTAAGCTAAAGTCAGAGTTTTTGTTCTTATTGTGCTAAAGATAGAGATTTTATACTTGTTTCTGCTTCATGCTAGAGTTACAGATATGTATTTGATTTTAGTTTAGTATAGAGTTATTGTTCATTTATCTTGTGCTGTATGCTCCTCATTCCTACTGCTGTGTAACCGGCGATGCAACACTGAAATTTCCCCACTGTGGGACGAATAAAGGGTCTCTATCTTGATTTTGTGTATAAAGCCTCACTCGAGTCGCGTCAATTCTTCCTTCAGATCCTCCAAACTCTCTCCATGGGTCGGAATTCTGCTTCTCAATGCCGCACATTCCTTTTCCAAATCTACCATCCGCTGTGACGTTGAGGCCTTTTCCGTCTGCAGCTTTCGAACTTCACTCTGAGACGTGTTTAGCGTCTGCTTTGTCGCTTCCATCTCACGTAACAGGTTGTCACGAATCTGTTTCGAGAAGAGAATAGAAGATTCAAAAGGCCGAGGTTGGATGAATAATAAACAGATTTGCTGCGTATTTGGTCCCACTATTTCCAAAGCAGCTACTTCTTGCTTCAGCTCGGCCGTTTTTTCATCATTTGTTCCATCGTGTGCCGGGTCGTTTATCTGCGGTGTCTCCAGCTGAAGCTCGAGAAAATCAACTTTCTCTTGCAGATCCGCTTTTTCCTGGAATATGTGGGAAAAAAATGAAAATTTGGATATTAGCTTGAATGTCCCAGGTTTGAATCAACCTCCAGGCCTTTCTGTGTGTAAGGCAAGGCAAGTTTATTTATCTCAGTTGTATTCACAGCTAAACAGGACTGTTTCTTCAGGAAGATTGTTCCAGATTTTAGCAGCATGAATCTGAAAAGCAGCCTCCCCATGTTTAGTTCTGACTCTGGGCACTAACAGGAGTCCAGTCCCTGTGCTCCTCAGAGTCCGGCCTGGTTCATATGAGACTAACAGGAAGTATAGTATAGTATAGTGTAGTGTGCATGTTGTCCCTGTGTAGGTTTCCTCCTGGTGCTCCGGTCAGCCCTACCACTAAAAACATGCACAATAGGTATGAATTGTAGCGTAACTACTTATATGTAGGGTAATAATACTACAGATTATGTTATAAATTTAGTATGAATTTGGTAGCGTGGAGCGGCTAGTCTCCGGAGCGGGAGCTCGCCGTTCCACCAACAGGTCTGTGTTATTTATTTTGGGCACCAGCAGAGTTAGAAATCTGCGCACAGACACACCAAATCTTTGCCTCGATCAGTCTTATGAATCTAATAGGTAGTGAGTACTTTTATCGGCCAGGGATATACCGAGATCTAACAACACGACTCTGATGGGGTTGAGTTAAAGAAAAGGGTTTTATTGATTACAAAAATGAAGGTAAAAATATAACGAAGGGGATTTCTGGTCACATTAAAGCAGAAGTGGTATACATTTCATTCAAATCGCACATTTAACAAAGAACAGTCTTACTTTGAAGGAGCGTAGAGGGAGGTGGGTGACTGGGATGAGGATGGAGTGGAGGATGAGAATGAAGAATAGGGTGGAGGCGATGTCGTCCACGTGGTTTCTTTGTCCGGGCAGGCGGGAATTATGAAGCCAGCGACGGCAGTCCAACTTTGGATCCAGGCGTGCACACTCAGTCCGGAATGAGTCACGTGCGCAGAGTCCAGAGCCAGGGCCGGCTGGTGATGAAGTGTGGGAAAATGTCCAGGGTTCATGTTAAGGTTTTATTTTGTTTTATTATATGTGCATTTATAAGCAGAACTGCTATTGTGATTTGAACCAAATGTTCATATAAAAGTGTTGTGCAGAGAGAGCAGGATGTGAAAGTGTGTGCAGAGAGAACAGGATGTCAGTTGCAACAGTTCCCTGTCTGATAAGACCAACGGAAAGTTTGAAGATGCTTGCACGTTGGGTTGGGGGCGTCACTAAGACGCACCAACTGCACCAGTAAACCTTGCTATCATACTATATATGGCAATGTGTAAAATGTAACCACGCCTACTTTTCTGTGTAAAATAAAAGCTGTGATGCGGAAAAGAGGCTTCGGGAGACATTACTCTGTTTGGGAGATGACTCTGTTTGAGAGATTTCTCTGCTTGCAGTCTAATGGCTGAAGTGTCTTCCCCCGTGATCACGTTAAAACTTGTAACTACAGTGTGCTCTCTGAGTTATTTTGTAGGTACAGGAGTTGGCCTCTAGAGGTGAAACTAGTTTCTGGACTTTTGGTCTGTTTTGGTTTTTGGTCTCTGATATGTCAGTCACTACGCTCGGTGCCTGGTGATAATTTCCTGACATACTTTGGTCCTTCGAAGCCGGATCCAGGGCTCGACGTGGAGGGCGACGACGGGAGATTGGACAAGTGCCTGACCAGGCCCGGATAACACCGGAAAATGCACCTTTCTACGTGGCAACCTCTCCTCGTCGTCCCCTGCGCTGAGAACTGGATCGGTCCCAGCGTAAGACCAACCATCAGCCGAAAAGGTCAGAAACAACTCTTATGTTAGAGTGAAAGATCAGACTTAGCTGTGGACCAGGTTTATGGTGCGAGTGTGCTTTGTTTGAATGGTGAATATTCACACGTTGTGGAAAATCACATGAGCGATCCTTTAGACTCAAGACAGAGTCGGACCGTAAGACCCAAGACAGGGCAGAAGTCACTCAAGACAGAGTGCAACGGACCGTAACTGTTGACCCAAGACAGGGGAAACAGTGACTCAAGACAGAGTCGGACCGTAAGACCCAAGACAGGGTAGAAGTCACTCAAGACAGAGTGCAACGGACCGTAACTGAGACTCAAGACAGGGGAACAGTGACTCAAGACAGAGTCGGTCCGCGGTTGGTACCCAAGACAAGGAAAACAACCATGAGGAAGAACAGTAATGGAAAGAAAGAGAAGCCTCCGGTCTGCGACTCGGACTCTAGCGGGAACGAGGAAGAGACCGGGAGAAAGAGAGTTACGTTAGCAGTAGTAAAAACAAAGTAATCTTGAAAGTCCTTCTTCTTTCTGTTTTAGCATTTTTGCTAAAACACTACTTTCTGCCTGTGTGTGTGCGCGTCTGTGTGAAAGGAACCCCCCCCCCCCTCGCTGCTGCTGAGCTGCTGCTCTGATTTAAAGGGGAGCTACTGTTTTTAGGATTTTGGCTTTTCATAGTTGTTTTTCCGTTAAATTTGCGAAATTTGCCATTTGAACATTGTGTTATGACACAGTTAAACGTTTTTAAACACCATTAGTGAATAAGAACCCCCCCCCCCGCCCTCGCTGCTGCTGAGCTGACACCATTAGTGAAACCCAAATATTAGTGCTAAAGCTTTGCTTTTCTTTTTAAATCTGCTGCTTATTTCTTAACTTTTTGTGAGTTGTGTTTGTTTTTATGTTTTTATTTTAGTTACAAAAGCCGTTTTTCAAACATTTAAATTAGAATCTGTGTTAAAAGTGATTATTGATTATAGACTTCGTCTAAAAAAGAAGCGAGAGGAGAGAACAGCGGAGAGTAGTGACAGTGAAGCATGACTCCCGGTATTGGGAGACTCTGTGGAAACCACAAGGGATGAATTGTCCAGTGATTCCTCAGAGTCAAATCTAAATTGGGATAATGATCATCTAATGGAGGAAGAAGAATTGGAATTATATCTGTCCTCCACACCCCAGGACTGGGCAGTGAGACCTGAAATAACATTATTGATTGAAGGGACACCTATTTTGTTCCTTGTGGACTCAGGGGCACAAATGACTGTATTAAGAGACATAAAACACATATCAGTGTCCCGACAAACCATTAGAGTAATGGGTGCAAGTGGAAAACCTGTGGAGTGTAAGATGAGCAAGCCATGTAAGATAGAGATCCCTGACGACCCAGACTCGGAAGTGGAGCTTCCCGTGGTGTTAGCCCCACATTGTCCACACAATTTATTAGGACGAGATTTAATTTCAAATTTGGGACTAATTGTGGGGACCGGACCAGATAACACACTGATTGTACCCCACAACCACAGACGAAAAAACAGATGATGTCATTTCTGGGACTGACTAATTACTGTCGACTGTGGATCCCAGACTATGCTAAAATTACCAGACCGCTACAAGCATTGATCCACGACACCCCCATGAATATGGGAGACAAACTGACCTGGACTACAGAAGTTCTAGACTCGTTTTGTTTATTAAAACAGACCCTAATGTCGACCTCTGTGCTCCAGCTCCCAGACTATGACAAACCATTTGTACAAACATGTGATGTGCGTGATGGATGCATGACTTCAATCTTGACACAGAAACATGGAACTAGATTGAAACCTGTGGCTTACTACTCTACTAAATTAGACCCTGTGGCACGGGCATTGCCCTCGTGTGTACAGGCTGTAGTGGCGGCTGCAATGGCGGTCCACGCATCTGCTGAAGTAGTATTGTTCCACCCATTGACTCTCATGGTACCTCACGCAGTAGCAATGCTGTTGTTACAAACAAACATGGCATTCTTATCTCCATCTAGACATTTGAGTTGTACCACTACACTGTTATCACAGCCACATTTGTCATTGATAAGATGTAATGTCCTGAACCCATCCACGCTGTTGCCGACTGAACAGGACGGGACTCCACATGAATGTGATAAACTGGCGATGGAAGACGTCAGACCACGACCAGACCTAAGTGACCTACCACTGACTAAAGGAGTAACTGTGTACATTGATGGATCAGCATCAAAAGATGCACAGAATCACAATCGTGTTGGTTATGCGATCACAGACCAAACTAAGCTGCTAAAATCAGGACGTCTGAATAGCAATCTATCAGCACAGGCTGCAGAACTAGTAGCGCTGATAGAAGCGTGTAAATTGTTCCAAGGTAAAAGTGTGACCATTTACACAGACTCACAGTATGCTTTTGGTACTGTCCATCAATTCTGTAAACAATGGGCGAATCGTGGTTTCCAGACGGCCTCAGGAAAACCGGTAACACACAAGAAATTGCTAATTGACCTGCTAGAGGCAATAAAATTGCCCAAAGCTATAGCTGTATGCAAATGTGAAGTGCATACCAAAAATGATGACTCTGTTTCCCTAGGAAATAGATTGGCAGATCTGGAAGCTAAGAAAGCAGCCTATGTAAACATTGTAAATACTGAACCGACTGTACCAGATGATTGTGACAGACATGAAATCCTGAAACAGTATCAGGAGAGTGCGGCAGCCTCAGAAAAAGCTACATGGAAAGCAAAAGGGTGTGTGATAGAAAATGGACTCTACGTTGGTGACGATAAAAAACCATGGTTACCTAAATCTCTGTTTAATTGGGCTAGTAAATTGACTCATGGTCCTTGCCATGTGTCAACAGGGGGAATGACTTCATTAGTGAATCAATACTATACAACAATAGGGTTCAATACATATTCAAAAAATTTTTGTAAACAATGTTTGATATGTATTCGAAACAATTCCCAGGGAGCAGCAAGACCACGAGAGGGAAGTTCCCAGAGCCTCCACACCCGTTTCACACAATACACATGGACTACATAGAACTAAACAAAACTAATGGACTAAGGTATTGTTTAGTAATAATTGATGCATTCTCCAAGTGGGTAGAAATGTTTCCTACTGCAAGTAATGACTCACTCACAGTGGCTAAGGCCATCTGTAAGACCATAATACCGACCTTTGGGATTCCTCAGATTATACGATCAGACTGTGGTGCTCATTTTGTTAATGAAGTAATCCATCGTATAGGTGAACATTTGGGAATAACATTGAAAAATCATTGTGCCTACCATCCTCAATCAGCAGGACTGGTAGAGAGAGTAAACGGAACAATTAAGAATAAACTCTCCAAAGCTACCAAGGACACAGGAAGAACGTGGCTGCAATGTGTGGATCTTGTAAAGACTAATCTACATATTTTACCCACCCAGAACTCTTTGTCTCCATTTGAGATCCTGTATGGAAGACCATTTACAATTTCAGACTTACAATTGACCGAGAAGGACAGACCGGACACTAGTCCAGACCTGGTGACATATATGAGACAGCTGTTTGAGAGCCGAGAAATCCAAAATGTGCATAAATTGCCTGCCGAACCATTCTCTCAACAGGAAAGGACTGTGAAACCAGGGGACTGTGTGTTCATCAAAGTGATAAAGAGGAAGTCCTGGAACAGCCCACGGTGGGAGGGTCCACACGTCGTCACCATCTCCACCCCCACGGCAGTGAAGATTGAGGGACGGACCTCGTGGGTGCACCTCTCCCATTGCAAGCTCCGAGACCAACTCGATCCGAACGCCTAGAGAGACGCAGGACGTCGTTGGTAAGCTGTGAACAACAACGGTACTGTGACACACACAACCGCTACGATGAGATCGATCCAGGTTCTTATAGGTTTAGTCCCTAGGCCTGGCTACGATGAGATCGATCCAGGCTCTTATAGGCTTAGTCCTAGGCCTGGCTACGCTGACCTTCACAGCCCCAGTTAACAACGTCGCCAACGGTCCAGAGCAGCTACAGAAGATCCCAGGAGAACTATGTACTGAACTATATGGAAGAATAACATATGGCTCAGGGTTTTGTTTACCCCCTGAGGGTAATTTTTCTCTACATATACCCTGTAGCGTGCTGTGCGATGTCCAGGAAAGACGTCCCACAGGTTGTACCCAACATGACCAGTGGGTTGTAGAATCTAAAGGGAAGGATGCTTGGTGGTTTCCACCAGGTACTCCCACATCTGTACCGTACACCGCTGTAGAAGGGGGGTTGTGGGTGCACTATAACACTGTTACAGGACACTACCAAGTTGACCCTGATAACCTAGATACAGGGACCACCCTGTTAGATCCTGGACGTAGATAGAGAGTAAATAATCGTTAACCCATGTTGTACAAATTCTAAGAAATTCATGAAGGAGCTAATCCAAACCCTAGCGGGAAGATTGGCCTTGGAACCCTTTTCAATGAAATTTGTTTAAACAGGGGGAAAATGTGGGAAAATGTCCAGGGTTCATGTTAAGGTTTTATTTTGTTTTATTATATGTGCATTTATAAGCAGAACTGCTATTGTGATTTGAACCAAATGTTCATATAAAAGTGTTGTGCAGAGAGAGCAGGATGTGAAAGTGTGTGCAGAGAGAACAGGATGTCAGTTGCAACAGTTCCCTGTCTGATAAGACCAACGGAAAGTTTGAAGATGCTTGCACGTTGGGTTGGGGGCGTCACTAAGACGCACCAACTGCACCAGTAAACCTTGCTATCATCATATTATATATGGCAATGTGTAAAATGTAACCACGCCTACTTTTCTGTGTAAAATAAAAGCTGTGATGCGGAAAAGAGGCTTCGGGAGACATTACTCTGTTTGGGAGATGATCTCTGTTTGAGAGATTTCTCTGCTTGCAGTCTAATGGCTGAAGTGTCTTCCCCCGTGATCACGTTAAAACTTGTAACTACAGTGTGCTCTCTGAGTTATTTTGTAGGTACAGGAGTTGGCCTCTAGAGGTGAAACTAGTTTCTGGACTTTTGGTCTGTTTTGGTTTTTGGTCTCTGATATGTCAGTCACTACGCTCGGTGCCTGGTGATAATTTCCTGACATGAAGAGTTCATAAATCCCAACCAGAAAATAGGTTTGCTTGAAAGGGAAAGTCTCGATGCGGACGGGCACAGTCGTTGCTGGAGGCCCGTACTTGTGCCGCCGCAGAGTCGATAGGGAGGTTGCGATAGTGATTTCAGGAGAAGACAAGAGCTCGTTCTATGGCATTGTTCGTGTTTATATTGACTTCCCAGGGGGGCGTGTCCATGCCGCCCCTGCCCTCTGTGGACAGACCCCTTTACAACAGACAGTTTGTAAAGGAAACACACAAGATTGATGCAAATAATCATAAGACATGTACAAACACACACCGTATTTCATTACTTTGACATTGATACACACATATGGGGCACAATGCAGATTATTGGAGTACTGGACCCAGGGGTGCCGGTTCGCAATTGTCCGTCCCGGGTGTGATAGTGTCCATTGTTCACAAGGGGGCGTCAGAGCGCCGCGGGGGAGTCTTTGATTGTCCGGTGGCAGGAGTCTGTGAGCGAGAGCAGGGTTGTGATCTTTGATCTCTACAGGCAGGCAGAGACAGAGGTGCTTATCCCCGTGGTGACTTTATTGCTCTTTTTGGCATCTGTAATCCCCATGATCGATGATAGTCCTCCGGCCGACATCGCTGTTCCTTTGAAGCTGCAGTGGGGCGTCTTCCTCCTTTTGGTCGAATGTGTACACAACAGGGCCTGGCTCTGTTTTACGGCCCTGTCCCTTATTTAACCTTACATACCCCCCCCACGGCAGAGATGCACCTTCCGACAAGGTGCATGTCATGTCGGATATGCCGGGCGGGTGTCCTCGGTCGGTCGTCTCGCCTGTTCGGGTGTTAGTGCGTGATTTGTGGTGACATGTTACAACATTCTCGCTTCAATGTGACTCAGCAATTCGCAAGCGCCTAACTGGGGCCAGGCTCGTGGCGGTTGGGTCTCGGGCCTCTGACTTGGTTTGTCGAGGCCGGGTTTTCTCTAAGGCAGGGTTTCTCAAACTGGGGTACGCGTACCCCTAGTGGTACGCGGGCGCCCTCTAGGGGTACGCCAAAGAATCTGTGAAAAAAAAAAAATCTGTGAATTTTATTTTTTTATTATTATTTTTTTTAATTTTACCAGGAAAGTCCCATTGTGATTAACTCATTGATAGCCATGGGTGTCATTTGAGGACAACATTGTTTTTCAATCTTTTCCTGTCAGTCTGTGTCCCCTGTATCATACAGTCTGGGGTTTGGCTGTAGACAGTATTTTATTAGGCCAGCAGGTGGCAGCAGAACTCCCTGGTTTGGTCAAAGATCACTCTGAGCACTCTGAGCAGGAGAGACAGAGGTGAAGCAGACATGGAGTAATATAGTCAGGGTCAGGCTACATTTGGAGGCAGTTTGAGCAGTAAATGTGTCTCCAGAGCTGACAGAGACCATGTGGAGGGTCCTAGCAGCAGACCATGTGGAGGGTCAGGACAGCAGACCAGTGGAGCACCTCAAAAAAGCCATAGAAAAGTGGACTATTGCTAAAATTATCACTGAGTCCACACCAGGAGCCAGCAGCAAAGTCCAGATATGGTCACAGCGCACGCCGGACTAAACAGACGCTCTGTAGATGTAACCACACAAAAACACACAAACGCGTGCATAAACGCACATACATGCACGCCCAAACACACAAAGAGACACAGCAGTATTCTGTTGCACTTATATTATAAGTATAAGTATTCACTTTGATTTATTGTCATGCATAGTGTTTATCATTGTAATTTTGTTATTCTTTGATTTACTCTTATTGACATAAATATAGTGCCACCTAATGGATGAATACTGGCCATTCTATCTGGCATAGTTTGTCATGGGCTCTACTTTCAATATGTACATTTTGACATTTTTTGGATGAGTACATTTTGAAATTTTTGAGCAACACTTTGTGGATGTGTGTGTGCCATAAAACTTATTATTTTACATTAAAAACACTTTCTCAAAACGTGTTGCTGTTTTCTAACATGTAAGATCTTGGACATGTTTGAGGAGATGCTAAAGTTAAACTAAATAGTTTTACAATCACTTTTCTGCAGATCTCCTGCAGAGATCACAGGAGAACGAAACAAACTAAGAACAAACTTATTTTTGCTGCTGAAAGTAGACAGTCCTGTCTTTCAGACTCTGGTTTCATATTTTTCATAGCACATAATATTTTGTGAGTCTTAAAAATCAGTGAAGTCATCAAAAAATGGCTGGCAGTCAATGAGAACCTCTTTTTCGTGTACAAAAATTACATAAAATTACAGATGATAAAACAGTCACATACAGATGATAAAATAGTCACATACAGATTATACAACAGTAACACACAATTTCATAAAATTACGGATTATAAAAACAGTTACGTTTCACTGAAGATGTCTCAATCTGGATCTAAAAGCATTCAAGGAAATAAGATCAGATCATTTCTAGTCTTTTTGCAACACGTTCCATGTAGAAGGAGCAGTTTTTTTTCCCAGTTCTGTGCAAAAGGAACAGAGAGCAACAAACGATCATTTGATCCAAACCATGAGAACATGTCTCTGAGTAAACGACAGTTGTAAGACGGCAGCAGAACAAGCCTTAGAAACTAAAGTGCACCAGTGTCCAAACCTTCTGTGGACAAAGATCTCACTCCAGAATATCACTCACAGTGAGGCTTTGCAGTTCGCAATGAATGAAACATTTAAAACATTTTTTTTTTCCTATATTTAAGCGCAGTCTTACTGTTGAAACTGTGTAAAATATTACATTAAATATACTTCTTTAGGAATGAAACCTCTGCCTTGTTATTGATGAATACTTCGGCTTACTACGCTACTGTGTGGTGTGGTCATTTGTGGTGGTACTTGGAGAGGCAAGTATTTTCTGAGGGGGTACTTGGTGTGAAAAGTTTGAGAACCACTGCTCTAAGGCGAGTCCTGGCCCTGCAGGCTAGTTCTAACCGGGATCAGGGGTTTTAGGGAGTGAGCTCCGGCCGTGAACTCTAAGGTTTGGGCCGGTGCGCCTGACTCCTGGGTCTCTTGGTCTGGAAGACTCAAAGTTCCAAGCCAAGAGAGTAGCAGGAGTTTCTACTTTAGGGGACTAGATATAAAATAGGAAACTTCAAAAATCAAAAAAAAGGTGGCTGCCTTGGCAGCGGGTAGGAGCGTCGTTAAGGCACTCGATGGTGAGGGGTTCCCATCTTGCTCGTTCTAAAAGGGGAGTGTGAGGGTTACACGAATATATGACGTAGCAAGTGGGGCTTTAATTACGAGGGACATTTCCTGTATATAAATGGGGATGACAGGTATGATTGTCTAGGAGACTGATTAGGTATCGAGGTAGGTTGGTTGGGTCTGAGCTGGTGACTCTTAGTGGGGTTTTAGGCCCTTGGTTCACCTTCCGTGATAGAAAGGGTGACCGTCTCGAGTGGGTGACTTTGGAGGTCCTCGTACTCTGACTCATTGACCCGGGGACGCCGACTTAAATTGCCACGCTCGACGGCGCTGTCGCCCCGGTTTGGTCGTTTACGGATCTGTCTCGTCATTGCCTCCGCGCACCTGTTAAAGGTACCGCGGAGTCGTCTAACCTGTCTATTTGGGACAAAGGCCATGGCTACGGCCAGAATGTTCTCAACTAACGATAGCGGCACGAGGTATGGCGGGATACGGCCCATGGCTGGGTTTTCGATCGAGGAACTGAGGTGACGTAGCATGTGTTGTATGTCTGCCTCAGCATGCTCCACGACCGT